TGCAAGACTACACTCACGTGATGAGGATGGACTGGTTCTCCCGATCTGGAAGAGAAAAGAGGAGAGGCAATGCAGTGAGGGCTGAGGGCTCAGCTGGGGGTTGGGTGGACAGGCACAGGGCGGGTGCAGGGCTCACCTGTCAGCATGTACTGATAGGCGTTGTCAGAGATGGAGAAGATGTGAGGTGGGGCCTCGCTCCTCTTCTTGCCCCGGTAGGCGGCCACCACCTCGGCATTGTACACTGGCAGCCACTTGTAGGGGTTGACAGTGACACAGAAGAGGCCCGAGTAGGTCTAGAAATAGAAAAAGTGGGTTTCCAGTGATGAAGTGGAGAGAGGTGGTGATTTTCGGAGTTAAAGACCCCAGGGGAGGAGAAAGGGAAATGGAAAACTCTAAATGGGTTCTTATGAGTCATGCCAACCCAAGGCATTTGAATGGAGCAAGGATTTAGGGACTAAATAGAGTGCAACACTGCCTGGGCACCGGAAGTAGATATTTTGGCTCAGGAGTGGAAACCCTTGGGTCAGGATGGTCCGTTCCAATGGAGAGCCTGGTGCCTCCACTCACGTAGATCATCCAGGAGGCGTAGCGCTCCTTGAGGTTGTACAGCACCGCCGGCTCGTGCAGGAAGGTCAGCATGGCCATGTCCTCAATCTTGTCAAACTTGGGTGGGTTCTGCTGCATCACCTGGTCCTCCTTCACGGTCACCGTCTGCAACGTCCCCGAGAGACCCTCCTGTCAGCCTGTGTTTCCCCTTCTCCCTCATCAGGGAAAGGAGGAGGGCATGTTACAAGACCCTGGTATCCAGCTGGGAAGGAACCAGGATCTCATCGAGAGCCCAGATTGGATGCTGGGAATGAGAAGTGCTCTTTGAGGTTTGGATCTCTATCCAAAGGGAAGGAGACTCAGCCTGGCACAGTGGCACATGCCTATAATCCCAGAGGTGAGCCCATCCCAGGTGTGGGGATGTGGTAGACACCCACCTTGCCATTCTCAGTCTCAGCAGTGACTTTGCCACCTTCCCGAGACACAATCTTGGCCTTGACAAACTCTTCTTTTTCATCAGGCACAAAGACATCCTTCTTGAGGTCAAAGGGCCTGGTCTGGGCTTCCAGCCGCTCCTTCTCTGACTTGCGCAGGAAGGGGGCGGCAGCCCCAAACGCGGCCATCTCCGCATCCACCATGGCTGTGCCTAGAGTAAGCAGGAGAAGCTGTCTTTTCTCCCATTGCTCTCTCCTTTAGGTGGGAATCCCCAAACCTAGCACATGCTCAAGAGGAGTTACCAGTGAGTCCCTCATTCTTAACCAGAGAACAGTCTAGCAAACCCACCAGGGTAGAAGGGACAACCAGCTTTTGTTCAGGCTAGGGCTGTCCTAGGGGTCAGAAGAGTGTCTTGCACTGCTTCTGAGAGCAGGAATCTGACTACATCCATCTTTGACCCTCACCAACCTCTGCCCTCCCCCAAAAGTTATAGATAAGCTGCTCTTGGAGCCAAGATGTCCTCCCACAGGCAAGGCAGAAGTGGGAGAGTTCCATAGCTTGGGTTTGGGGCTATAATGCCCAGGCTTCCCAGATCCCTCGCACTCTGTCTTCAGCTTTTCTTACATTGGTTTCTCAAATGTGTCTAGAGATGAGGAGGGGAGCCCAGGCCTGCAGGGGACATGGAGAGTGGCCCAACCTGACTAGCACCACTTCCCCTCTTCTCCCTGGCTCTGTCCTTTGGCACAATCACCCTTCCCTGGAACTGAATCAAGTTGGAAATGGTGGTCAGCTTCTCAGGTCCCATGCTCTTTCTTCCTTTCCAAAAAAACTATTTCCTTTCCCCCAATGACTAGTTCTAACAGTTTCCTGGTGTTAATGCAACACTTGAGCCCCAATCCTCCCACTCTTGGGAGATGATCCCACCTTCGTATATACCCAGGCAGTGAAACTTTTTTTGAGTCACCTGAAAAACAATAGTGGTCACATTCGTTCAAGGTTTTCATTCAAAACACTTCTATGCACATTCACTTACTCAATCCTCACCCCACTGGACAGAAGAGGGAATCAGGGTTAAGTGGCCTGCTTGTCCAAGACAAAACAATAAGTAATAGAGCCAAGTCTTGACCCCGAGCCTCATGACTCTAAAGCCAGTGCTTTTCCGTCCTGTCCCCATTTTGTCACTCTTTGTGGGCATTTTCAGAGAGAAGACACTGTGAGTGTCCTCATCCAGGTCCCCCATCACACAGCCCAACACTGCCACATGCTCTCTGATGAACACACATTCTTATGCACACATGTCACACAAAGACAGGCTTCCTTTTTATACCTCAGCACCTCCCCCCAGCATGCCACATGTTCCTCAACAACAGATGTGTGTGTGTGTGTGTGTGTGTGTATATATATATATATATATATATATATATATATATTGCATAAATAGGCTTGCATGGCTGTGTGACTACAACCACGTGTCTGTGAGCTCTTTCTGCATGGTTACATACACTGCAACAGTCGTGACTTCTGGATGCACAGACAAATGCCTCCACATGCATGGATATGACAATTATATGTTCCAGACCCTACTGAACTACTTGTAGGTATACACAATTCCTATGTAATCATTCTTCCGTCTTTCACTCCTCTCACAGATGAACCTGCTTGTCCTCTGACATGATGATAAATACATCTCCCCCTTATCCATATCTTAGGTAGTGGAAGCACACACCTTCCCTTACATTCAAAACATATGCACTTATACATGCACATGCATGTACGCACCCCCCACACACACACACACACTCTTCTTATGTATTCTGGTCCTATATGCTCAGATACAGATATCTTCCCTTGGGAACACATGAGCCCCCTCATTCCCATGGCACATACATATTTAGATCTGCACATGTGTGCTCAATGACCATACTTGATACTCTGCATAGAACCCTGCAAGAAGCTTGCTGTTCCTAGGAAACTGCTTCTTAAATCTGGAGCCCCCTTATCCCAGGAGAAGGCCTCCAGCTCCCATTCCTACCTGAGAGCAGCAAGGAAACTCACAGAAAGCAGGAAAGAGCTGAGAGTCAGACCTGGTCTCAGGGGCTGTATATATGGGGCAGCAGGGTGCCCCCACCCCCACCTGCACCCAGTCCCTAGCCAGATTTAGAAAGGGCTGTTGTCACTAAAAGCATTTCCCCCGCCCTGCCCCCCCCCACTGCCCAAACAGTGCTCCCCCTCCCCCTCTAGCTAGGAAACAATTGGAAGTGGTCGTCATTGTTATGGCATGGAGCGTGCAGGGTCTGAGTTCCAGGGGGCGGGGTGGCTCAAAGTGCAGCAAAAATATCTCCCAGGGCAGACCTCACATTCTCCAGCTAGCTGGAGAGCAAATTGACCACGACCACCATGACCTCTGGCAGACAGGGTCCTGGCTGTCCTGTAGGGCACTCCTGGCCCCTTGCACTCTGAGCCTGGTACCCCCTATCCCCAGCACTGGCCTGGCCCCATTTTCACAGTGTCTTCCCTGCTCCCCTGCCCTGGGCCTGCATCCAACTGTGAGATGGGAAGAGGCTGAGTGTCAGCAGCATAAAGGGGTAGGGCAGAGCTGGGGGCATGACCCCAAGGTGGGAGCTGACCTGGGGCAACTGGAAGGAAGTTTCCTTGTTAGGTGGTAGGAACAATGGATGACCAGGAGCTTAGACATGGGGACTCTGGCTCAGGCAGTGATTTCTTTGGACCAGAAGTCAATGTGTTGAGGTCACTGAGCCTCAGAGCCAGACAATTCTTTAGTGATCCATCCAAGTTCTTCATTTATGGAGAGGGGAAGTGCCTTTTCTAAGGTCACACAACTAATGGGAACAGCAAAATTTCAAGGTGAGAAACCTTAAGAGATGGGGGACAGAGCTGGCCTAGAAAGGGGGGCTGGGATTCCTAGGAGGGAAGGACCCACTGTATGTGTGAAGGCAGGACCCAGCAGCCTGATGGTTCCAATTGGGAGCCTTTTCCTGACTCATTACTCATCTACTCTGCAGGAACTAGATGTCTTAGCCCAGGGGCTCACACACTTAGGGCTATAGATAATACAGCTGCTCAGAGTGAGGAGACCCCCAACCAATACTGCTGTTGCCTGACCCACTCAGCCTCTGCTGGAGTGACCTCTGACCAGACTTGGTTGTGATTAGTGTTCTGGCAAACGAGGAAAAGAACAGGACAGGAAAATCCTCCCTGACTCCTGCAGACCCGGAGCAGCCACAGGGGAGGAGAGAAAGGAGCTGTGCTGGATGTCTGCAAGCCTCACTGCTCCGTGTCCAGGCAACCACTGCGTGGTTTGGTTTGAAATCCTCCCTTCTTCCCAAGCACAGCTCTCAGCGCATGCGGATTAATCCATCTGATTAGCTGTCAGCTTGGAGGAAAGAGGCAGGCCTGGGGGATGGGGTGCCCAGCAGGTATATTTTAAAGGTGGGATGGGCACAGGAGGAAAGGGGCAATCCAGGAGGGGGCCCCCATGGGGGCTGCTCTGTAACCAAGTCTGAGGGCATTGAGCAGATGGGTGTGTGTGTGTGGTGGGGGGGGGTGCGGGCAAGTGGGGGACAGACCACAGACTGCAGGGGCTGTGTCTGACGCAGTTGCAGCTCTGCAGTGCTGCAGAGGTTTAGAGTTGTAGAGTTGCTGAGGAGGCCCCAGTGGGCCTTTCTGCTAGCATGCCCAGTGGAACAGAATCTGGGGGTCCTGGCTTGGTCCTGCAGATGCTGAGGATCAGCCCCACTGGTAGGGACCTCAGGGATTCATGATGAAGGGTGAAAGCTCCTTTTCTACCCTTCCAGCTTTCTAAGCACAAAAGTGCCACCCATTTCTGATTTCCCAGGGCTCAGGCACAGATACAAGCAATTGAGATTGCAACAAAGAATGCTTGGGACATGAGTGACCACTTTCAAACCAGTGTCTCTGCCCTGAACCAGTCTCTTTGGCAATGCAGTTGGGAGGCCTTTTCTACACTTAGTCACCTCACTTTTTTTTTTTTCTTTCAGGTTTGGAGGGCTCTGGTCTATGGATGTTTCCATGTTACTGTTCTCCACTCTCCAATGCAAAATAGAACTCATTTCCTTAACTCTGGTTTCTCTGTCTCATATGTTAGTTTGGAGCATCTGATGTCCTTAAGGACCCCCACTCAGTCCCTAGCTCCTCCAGCACCTGCCCTTGGCTCCATCATGATTGTTCTCCTTCTGCTTTGCTGCTGTCTAAAGACAGAACCGCTTAGCCCATTCCTTTATAATTTAACAAGTATTTATTGAGTATCTACTATGTGCTTGGTTTTCTTCTCGTCCATGAGAATATAATAGTAATCAAAAGAAAGATCCCTCCTCCAGGCAGCTGTATTCAACATTTAGAAGTAGAATCCAGACTCAAGCTTATCACCAGTGCCTTCGCGCGCGCGCACACACACACACACACACACACACACACACACACATTCCTAGTGGGGGGAGTGAGGGCTGGGGCCCATGCTATGGGGTGGGTGGCAACTGTGCAGCATGTACTACAGAGTGACAGCAGACAAGACAAAGGAGAACAGACCAAAATGCTATAAATAAAAAGGGGCTGAGGGAGAGCAGCCCAAGGTAGACCAAATAAGGCGTGAGTGGAAGGAAGGTGATCTGTCTCCCTGTTCTCCCCTCCCCCCGGCATTGTGCCTGCTTTGTCTGGGCTCTGTCACCACCCTGATCAAGTGTCAGGCCAAAACAGGGGCCATTTGCTGTGAACATGCCTGCAGGAGTCCAAAGAAAAAGTTGCTAAAATTACTACCAGGAATTGCAGCGGGGGGTGGGGGGAGATATGGTAAACTAAAATAGACCTCAGCATGGAAAGAGGGAAATCAGAGGAGCCCCAAAACCCAAAGGGAAGGGAGAGTAGTGGGCAGGAAGAGGCAGGGGACCTGGTCCTGGAGGAGGAACGAGGCACCACTTGTTTTGCACATGGGAGAGGAGACCTGCCCAGGGGTGAGGTGGGGTGGGGGTGAAGGGCCAGCTCTTCCATCTGCCTGTCCCTAGAATCCCTGACCTTGGGGGGACCCTATCCTGGCTCCACACGAGCCTGGGATTAGGGAGCGGAGCTTTGTGCCTGTCTCAGGTTTCCCTTTAGGGACAGCTGCTCCTTCTTGTCATTCTTTTGTCTTCCCGCTGCCTCCAACGTCTTTTGTACCTCTGTACCCCTGGCTCCCTGCTCCACAATCTCTGCTTTCTGATCGACAGTGGACAGCTGGAAAGACAGCCCAGTGTAGTTTGGGGTGTTTTTGGAAAGGTAGAGCTCTCCTTTGGGGAATGTTTGGAGGGGCACAACTCACTGAGAAAAAGGCATCATGGAGAGCGACAGTCTGGATCCAGGGCTGGAGGCCTCAGGAGGCCTGTGAGGAGCAGCCTGGGGAACTTGGAGTGGGTCACAATATCCACCTTGAAACCCATCTCCTCTATTTTCTAGCTGTGTAGGCTACGTTAGTCATATGATCTCTCTGAGCCAGTTTATCATCAATAACATAAGTGTAGTCATTTACTTGAATCGGTAAAGAGTCTAGAATACTCCAGACACACATAGTGGTTCCTCAAAGCAGGCAGTTCTTATCCTTAAGAATATAGAGCTGAGGAAACCAGTCTGCCGATGATAGGACCCATTACCCTACTGTAAGTCCTTTGTTTTATATCTCCCTCAGCCCCACTAAGTCCTCTTGGGTCAGAGGATCATATGGGCCAGGGTGGATCGGGTATCCTGCAGTACTGTGCTCTTATCTGCCCAGAGGGTGGCTGCCCATCATGCAAGGGGGCCAGGGTGCTGAGGCTGTTCTAGGCTCAGCCCAGGCCCACCTCCCAGCCCTGAGTCAAGAGAGGCACCACTCCCTGACTGCTGTTCATGGAGCTGCCCTGCTACAAGGCCAGTGTGCATCCTGAGGCCCACCATTCCCTTTGGAATTCCAATCCATGTCTGTTTAGTTGCTTTCCATTGACCTGCCATGTTGCTCAGACCAGCAGAATGGACAATATCCCAGAAGCAATGAAGAATGACTACAGCTTTAGGCTGACAAATGGTGACATAGGCCAAGACACCAAATGAGAGCACAAGCCAAGCACCAGCAGGATGTGTCCTAGCCTGAATATCTAGGGGGCCCTGGGTGGAGCTGCCTGGTGGGGCTGGGCTGGCTCCAGGGTATGGGAGTTGGGCTGTGGAAGAGAGGCAGACAAACCTAGAGTCCTTAGGAGACGGGCAGAGCCAGCCTTGGGTTGCCCAGGGGTCCTTTAGCAGTTTCAACCACCCCTGGGCAGAGTCAGACTAATCAAAGGATGCAGAGGTCTGGGAAGCCCCTAGAAGGAGAATGACTAGGGTACTGGGATATGAAATAATTGGGAAAACTAAAAAACAACACTCATTTGCTGGACACTGGTTGGGGACCCTCCACATGCCCTTGTTCCTCCACCTTAGAACCTCTACTTTGTTCACAAATATTCCTAGTTTAATGTCCTGTGGCTGCCAGATTTGGCCAGCACAGGATATGGAGAACCATGGGATATACTAGGAGTGGAAGTTAATTTTTCAGTGAGAAGCCAAGAGACTGAGGAATCAGCAGCCCCCTCCCAAGGAAGAAGGGATTCTGTTCCTTATATCATAGGCCCCTCTTCCTTAAGCGGCCTTCTGGGAACATAGCCTGTTTCCCATCCTCACCTCTACCCCAACCATAAGTGCAGGTGAGTGAGAATAAGCATACATCTGCACACACATGTGCATATGTGCACCTCTCTGCACAAACACAGCTGGCAGATCTGAGCTACTTCCGCAGACAGTTTTCAGATAGAATGCTGGTGTTTAGTGAATTTTCCTGGAAGACCTCCATTCCAGTCCCCAGTCAGTTCAGCCTGTCTCATTCTCTTTCTATCCACAGTTGGGCTCCAGTTAGTCAGCCAGGTAGATGCCTTACTGGCCCTGCTGTATGCCAGGCTCTTTGGTAGCAGGGCACAGAAGGATTGCATGACCTCTTCCTTACAAGCACTCCCACGGGCCAGGGAAGCCAATTGTACCATGCTGGAAACTGAGGGACCCAACAGTATGGCCCAGATCTTGAACAACCCAAGGGCAGAGATGCTATTATCAGTGTGGACTAGAGCAGTTTAAGGTTTCCAGGTGGGGACATGGAACTGGAGCTTCAAGAGAGGAGAAATCTTGAGAAGCATTGGAAATTGGATTGTATTATAAATGGTGAGATCACAGGATAGCCAAAGGCATGGAGGGCGGATAATGTGATGCATTAGAAAGGACCCCAGAGAGTGGGCTGACGATGTAGCTTAATGGTAGAGCCCTTGTCTAGCATGTGCCAGGCCCTGGGTTAAAGCCCCAGTACCTCTACTCCCACACACACACAAAGGAAAGAGAGGACTGGGAGGACACATGCCTTATTACACTATCCTATGAGGACATAAAATAGAAAGGGGGGGTAAGTTGGGGTCACATTGTGGAGGAGAGGAAGGGAATGTATGAATCTTATTTGATCTAGGTACCATGCACAGTATTTATACACATTATCTCAATTAATAATCACAATTGCCTGTCATTTAAATTGCAGTCTGTGGGTGACAAATGAGGCTCATAGAAGCCAAGATGATTGCCCAAAGCAACAAATGTGCAAATGTGCCTTTGGAATTTAAACCCATGTCTGTTTAGTTCTAAATTGCTTTCCACTGATCTGCCATGTTTCTCAGACCAGCAGAATGGACAGTATCCCAGAAGCAATGAAGAATGACTACAGCTTTAGGTTGACATTATAATGTCCTGAAAGCAGAGTTTGAGGGCCCAGCAGGATACTGTGGGGGTACTTTGAGGGAGAAGAGGCAGGAGGTAGGGACTGTAAAGGAAACCATAGAAACAATCAAGGTTGAGAGTAGGGTATGGTGGTACATGCCAGTAATCCCAGAGACTTGGGAGGCTGAGGCAAAAGGTTGGCAAGTTCAAGGTCACCCTTAGTAATTTAGTGACACTCTAGTAACTTTATAGGACCCTATCTCAAAAATAGAGTAAGAGCAAGGTTTTAACTCAGTGGTAGAGTGCTTGCCCAGCATGTATGAGATCCTAGGTTCAATCCCCAGTACCATAAAAAAAAAAAAAAAGAAGAAGAAGAATGTTGAGAGACGTGAAGAGGAAAGGACAAGGCTGGAAGGCCTTCCTAAAAAAGGAAGGACACAGTGTTTGGTTTGGGGGAGTTGGAGGTAATAATGGGGAAACCAGCAGAAGATGTTTTTCAGTCCTGTAAGAAGTCAGAATTATGGGACTGGCAGACAGGTCTGTGAAGGATGGTGGAAGAAGCCATGAGGTGGGAGAAAAGAGGAAAAGTCCAGGAGATGCCTTCAGTATAAAGATGGCAGAAGGAAGAGAAGACCAGAGAGGATGAAGAAGTCCACTCGAGAGCCCAGGAGAATGAGGGAAGGAAGTTTCCTAGAAGCCACAAGAAGCATTTTAAGAGGAGCAGGTGGCCAGTAGTATCAGATTCCAAAGAAAGGCTAAGTGTCAGGAAGATAGAGAAGAGAACTTGGGTAATTTTGGATCAAGCAACTTCTATTGAGCTGCAGGGCAAGAGCCAGGCTGCAATGAGTTGAGGAAAGGACGAATGGACTGGAGGTGGAGGCAGTGGGTGTACACCCAGCATTTGAGGAGTTTGGCAGTGAAATGAACGAGATTAGGCAGCCACCAAAAGGCAAGTGGGCCAAATGGCATGGTTTACTTTGTTTTAAAGATAGGGCTGTCCTGAGTAGGTTAGGAAGTGTTGTTTTGTTCCCCATTCTCTTTTATACATTCTGGTTCTGTTTTTTTTTTTTTTTTAATGCCTGTCTCCCTGGAAGTCTGGAAGATGGTTTGGGAATACCTGGAATTGGGGTTTCCATCACATAAGGTGGACTTGCAAATGTGAGGCTGTTGGCTCCCAGCTCAGCTCCAGATGTGCACAGGGAGCTTGGAGCAGAGCTTGCTGCTTTCAACTCACCAACTGGCCTGAGAAGGGTTGTAGCCTCTTGAGGTCACAGAATGAGGACTAAAGGAGGGCTGGAGGGCAGGGAGCAGCCTTGGGAGCAATCTGAAACATAAACAATGACTGGTAACTCAGTGTCTTCTGCTTGCTTATGCCTCAGTATTTGCCTGGGATGATTTCCTTGTCTCTGGTGTTCCAAGAGGTTGGTAGAATGCTAACCCTTCAAGGATGCTAACCCTATCTTCAAGGATATGTGACTTTCCTGCCATTGGTTGTGCAAGTCTTGGTCTATCTAGCATAGGAC